GGCTCCCTTGACACTCAGCGTCGGACTCAGAAGTGGACGGGAAGTACTTCTGGTCCCCTTTTGGGTTTGGTGCTGAGCACGTGGGGGGTGTTCCCCATGCTCCTCTGGGATACTGCATCCACCCCAGCATTGCAGCGCTCCCAAACTGCACTTGGTATCTTGAGGACTGTAGAAAAAACATTTAAAGCTGTGTCTGTGGCTGAATCATTGATTCTCTGAATCAGCATTGAATCTTCAGATTCAGCCAAATTGAATCAGGGACAGTGATCCAAATCAACAGATCAAATCACTGTCCCTGATTCAGGCTGAATCTGAATTGAATATGGCCCATTTCACACACCCCTAATAGACTGTGCTCCAAGTGCCTTTTTTCACCTCATGTTGTGTAATGTAAGATTCAGACAAGTAAGTTTCTTGAGTTTATTTGCTTAGAAAATGTTTACATTATAGAATTAAATAACAACAACAGCAACAGCAACAATAATGTTTTTCACAGAGTCACAATTCACATGTGGGCGCATAAAGCCTGTCCATATAAAAATATTTTTTCTTCAAAGTCTATCTCCAATTTACCATCAAATAACCTCATAAAAAACAAAATATCCAGGATGTTCAGCTTTATAAAAATGTATTAAGTAATCTTCACATTTGAGGTGTGAATGGAGCTGAGTCACATGACATGAACTCCTCACACATTAAATATTCTATAAATAATACAGTGCTTAACAGTCTGCGAATTACATTTCTAAATAAAATATTCCCTTAAAATGGTTTAAATACTTTTGACTTTTCACTGGTCAAAGTCAGTCTGGGGCAACAGCATTGGATGTGGTGACTAGAATGGAGCCCTTTGAATGTTAATGTATTCATTTCCAGAAGAAGTTCAGTCCCTAGCTCCTCTTAATTCAGTTCCAGGTCATTCACATATTCTTTAACCCAGCTGTCCTCGGGATTTGCACAGATTTGACGGCCTTTTTTGGTAGTAAATCTGCAGAACATGAAACAGACAGATGAGCACTTTGGAAAAATTTTGTGGTTGGAGAAAATCAAACCTTCCCCAGCTTTGTTCTCCCACTCAGAGTGGCAGGGCTCAGACTCCTGTAGGCTAAAAGTGCCTAAGTGGTGTAACAGCTGACCTGCTATTTTAGAATGTCTCAGGAGAACCTGAGAGCCCCACTGACTGTCAGTGAAACTTGGGCACCTTATATCTGACTCACTCAATAATGGGGCTTAGGCTGCTCCATCATTTAGTTTTACAGCCAGTCAGTGGTGTGCTCTCCACTGAGAGGTTTATCTGCCAGTGATCTGCACCCTTTTAGTTTTGGCTTGGTTCCTGTCTCCACTACTGATGCCCTCCTGAGATCTCGCACCCTGTCTCCAAATAACATCTCCTGTTCCCCATTATGCCCTGCCTGTCCCCTGGGATGAGCATGACTGAGGCACCACAGAACTCTCTGCAGCAGTTCCCACTTTATCTCTGCTCAGGATCAGGCTGAGAGACTCAGTGAACTGCCTAGTGAGGTATCTTGATAAGAGACTTCTCAGGAGACTTGATAAGAGACTTAATCAATAGACCCTCATTCCCAGTTGGTATAAAGCACTATCCTGATTGCAATCAATGGAACAGCTGAGGATCTAAGCATGTTGGTTGTTGGTTTAATCTGATCTGACCTCCGGCACTTCTCAGGGAAGGGGATGTCACCTTTGTCCCTTGGGCTCTAGAGGGTTAAGAAATTTCAACACCAGTAACTAGGAACACAAAATATCCCTCTCTATTGAAGTCTAAAGTATGTACTTACACCACGGCTGCACGGGAGCACATACTGTTGGTGTAATAATAATCTTTCACAAAGTCACGGGGGAGCTGCCTGGTCACATATGAAAAGCAGCAGGCAGTTGGGGGATCAGATCCAACTGGAAGAGATGAAATCAGCAAATGTTAGAGTGTGCTCAGTTGTATCCCACCACCTGCTGGGGCACCTGGGAAAAGTAGAGAGGAGAAACATCCAGCCCTAGTGATGGTGGGATGGGAAGAAGCTGAAAGAAGGGAAATGGGAGAGATTTTCCTCTTTGATTCCTTCCCCTCTTTCCTTGTTCAAGGTGATGACAGCTACATACGTAGTTACCAAAACCATAGTTGGACATTTGGCATCCTTTGGGACTGCTGGCTGTTCTTTTGATACTCCCCGGAGATCTCCTCTGAGGACAGATAGTTTTCCTCCCCCTATCTAGAGCTCTGAGGACTCACTTGATAATTATCCCATATGGGAAGGGATCCCTAGGGCTGGGAAGGGCTGGCAAGAAGAGCCCTATCCCTATTACATCTCTCTTGCCTTCCTTCACGGGTACAGTGGGCACATCTACATGTGTGCTTTAATGATTATTAGTCTATTTTAATGTTTGTTAAAGCATCACGAAAAACCATGCTGTTTAGTTAATGCACATTAAGATAGGCTAATGCACATTATTTCAATACTGAATAATGGAGGTACTAGATTTAATATGCAAACTAAAGCTCATCAATGCACATGTAGATGCACCCAGTGAGAGAGAGATGAGAAAAAAATCTGAACTTACATGGAGCAGATGAGGCCTGGGAGCAGATGATGGCAATGAGGACAGTAGTGTAGGCAGCTATAGAAACCTTCATGCTGCTGTTGGGTGGACAGGAGCTGCAGGAGCTTAAGCAGACCAGGGACTATTGCAAGCTCCTTCTGCATCTGGTGTTGAACCTCTGGGCAGTCCCCTCTTTATAGGACCTTGAGGTGCTGTGAGGGCAGTGCAGTGGAATTTCCCAGGCAGCAGAGAACTGATGTCATGGAACAATCTTGCTATCTGCCAGAAACAAAGTGACAACCAAGACTTAGGAAACAGTCAGCTTCTGTGCGGCACTGAGATGTAACTTTTTACACTTGGTATGACACCTTCCCTCAGATGGGGAACAGGAAGTCCCCACTGAGACAGGATATGAAATAATCACAAGTTTTATAATTAGTTCTAGAGATTCTACTTAAAAATAGACATTTCTTGTTTCCCTCTTGGAGGTCTCAGGGTTTGTCAAAGGAGCAAATATTAGTTAATTTGTGATGGTATTTCCACTTCAAGGTCTGATCATTCCAAATACAGAGCTGTGCAAGTGGGAAAGTGGATATGGGACATTAGTCAGAGGCAGGGATCTATGACCTTTACCTCACTAGGCTATCTTCCCTATGGTTCCCCACTGTTACTACTACCAGTGCAGCAGGAGACATAATGAGGCATGTTGCCCATTATCTGGGCTTTTTTATAACTGTATTCTCTACACTTACTCTGAGCAGAGTGAAAGAACTCAGAGCTTAGGGCTCGATTCTGTTTCCACCTATTAGGTATCTAAGGGCGCATGTATATGTGCAAATAAGTGCACCTAAATTTAATGTGTATTAAGAGATTTTTGGCAGGTGTCTACACGTGCAGCGACTTGGGACTAAAATTAGTCCCAGTTCCTTCCAGTCTTGCCATGTGCCCCTGTGGCCAGCAAGGGATCTCTATCCTCCGGCCACATGGTTGCTAGCATTTGGCAGTCATGTTGAAGCCAGAGCCAGCTGACAACACTTGGCAGCCATCTTGAAAACTCTGATCCCTGGCCAGCCCCTTCCCTGCTCAGGAGCTGCATGCGCAGCACAGGGGCAGCATGTGCCAGCAACCTCCTTGCCCACCCTGCCTCCCTGTGCCATGGTTGCCCTTGCCAGCAATACTGAGCACTGCACCAGCCTGGTGCCAGCAAGTGATGACCAGTGCCCCACACTTCTGCTGGCCATAGTACTGACTCTGCTGGGCCCTGCTGGCCCTCCCTTGCCCAGGCCCCAGACAGCCATGCACCTACCAGTGGGAGCCAGGGCACCAGCTCTGGGAGGCCCTGGTTGACCCCCTCCTCCTGCAGTCCCTGCTTCAGCCCACCTGCCCCACCACCCACACCCTAATCTGCTACAGGTAAAGCAAAGGAACCATGGCAG